GCTCATTTGTAATGATTTCTAGCAAAGAAGAAGAAGAGGAAGAGAATCCAATTCATCGTCTCGACATCCAAGCCTCACCATCATTCATCTTCACACCTTCTGGACCTTTGTGAGTTTCCAAGTTCATTGCTTTTTGAGTCTATAAGCTTAGATCTAGGTTTTATGCATTATCTTGCATGTATAGAATGATATAGTGTTTGGAATCCATAAAGTTGCCAACTTTATGGATCCTCCAATTTCCCTTTGATGAAATAAATGTGGGATCTAAAATATGGTTGGGTTTTGAAACTCTTACATGATCTTCTAGTGTCATTTCTTCCTTTTGTTCCCTACTTTGTGTTTGGGAAATACACTGGATATGCATGTCCAAAAAGCCATGGTTTTTATGAGGTTATGGGGTAGATAATACATTCTGGAAGTGTTGGTTTCATATCTAAAAGGATTAAGAACCTTGTTCATGAAATCTGTCCAGAGCGTTTCTCACGCCGTGAGCACTTAGGTGTCACGACATGAGAATGATGATTTTTGATTATTTCGTCTTCTTAGGTCACGACGTGACCAATAGATGGTCACAACGTGACGAGTAGCTGGGCGACTTTTGAGTGTAGATTTTGACCATTGACCATTGACCGTTGACCAAGTTTGACTTTAGGGGTCACGACGTGATGTGATCCCATATGGGTCACGACGTGAGAACTGGCTGTAAGGAAAACCCTAATTTTCAAGGTTTTTCCTATATTTAAAGGAAGTGAGTACTAGGGTTAGCCCACGATCAACCTCTATCACCTCCTAATGCCCATTTGAAACCCTAACACCCTATATTTGATATTGAGCTCATTTGTAGTGATTTCTAGCAAAGAAGAAGAGGAAGATAATCTAGTGCATCATCTCAACATCTAAGCCTCACCATCATTCATCTTCACACCTTCTGGACCTTTGTGAGTTTCCAAGTTCATTGCTTTTTGAGTCTATAAGCTTAGATCTAGGTTTTATGCATTATCTTTCATGTATAGAATGCTGTAGTGTTTGGAATCTATAAAGTTGTCAACTATATGGATCCTCTAATGTCCCTTTGATGAAATAAGTGTGAAATCTGAAATATGGTTGGGTTTTGAGACTCTTACATGATCTTATAATGCTATTTCTTCCTTTTCTTCCCTAGTTTGTGTTTGGGAAATGCATTGGATATGCATGTCCAAAAAGCCACGATTTTTATGAGGTTATGAGGTAGATAAGACGTTCTGGAAGTGTTAGTTACATATCTAAAAGGATTAAGAACCTTGTTCATGAAATCTGTTTAGAGCGTTTCTCATGTCGTGAGCACTTAGGTGTCACGGCATGAGAATGATGATTTTCGATTATTTCGTCTTCTTAGGTCACGACTTGACCAATAGATGGTCACGACGTGACGAGTAGCTGGGCGACTTTTGAGTGTGGTTTTTGACCATTGACCATTGACCGTTGGCCAAGTTTGACTTTAGGTCAAATAGAGTGTTTTGAGTTGTAGATTGAGGCTCGATCCCTGTTTTTTGTATAGGTCACCTTTAGAGTCGGTATTTCAGAGTAACGTTTAGTTAAAATATCTTTTAGATTGTGAGGTGAGTCTTCCTGACTATTCTCGTGGGTTAAAGGAACCAATGCCAACTCACTAGGTTATATGTCCTGATATATAGGTTGTTGCTATGCTACAGTGTCCTGTTAGATCTGCATGATTATCTGTTTGCTGGTTATGTGTTTATCTATTGCATATGTCGACATAATGTGGTTAGGTTGAGGCAATATTGCTCTGTGCAGAAGCCAACAAACCTGGGGGAAATCTAGACATAAGCTAAGGGCCGGAAAGACAAACCAGACTTATGATGTGGGCTCGAGGGCAATCCAGACATTTGTTGTGGGCCACGAGGGCAATCCAGCCTTATGCTGTGGGCTCAGGGGTAATCTAGACCAATGGTTGTGGACCCAATATGCATGTTACTTCCTCTGTTCCATATTTATAGTCCATGTTTCCTTTTTGGTTTGTCCCAAAATAATAGCCTACTTCTAAAAATTAATATCTCTTTTACCAAAATACCCCTAAATATTAGTTAACCTACCATTGAATTAAATTCAACAAAAGAATGGAATTAAATGCAACAAAGGGTACAACTTTCATTTCATTTAATAAAGTTAGTGGTAATTATTTTTTTCTTAATCTGTGTGTTTTTTGTTTGTGGACAATAATTTTGGGACGGAGGGAGTCTTATATGTTCATGTGGTGGTATTTTAGGGGAACTCACGAAGCTTTGACTTACAGTTTGATTTTATGGTTTCAGGTACTTTAGAGGACAAGGGCAAGGCGAATGCGCGATTGTGCACATCCTTCTTGATATTCACTTGATCTATTATTTTGGGATACTCTGATTATGACTATGACTTTTGGAAACTATGTTTTGAATAATTTATGAATTTGGGATAATTTTAAAAATAAATTTTTTTTTTCATGATTTTGGGACGTTACAAATGCATGTAAAGATGAAATTCCACTACATCTTGGATAGTGATAAGAATTTGGAATTGTGAAATGGACATCATTGGAATAATGTCCAGTTGATTTGTTCACAAAAGAAGGACCATAGATAAGCATAGTATGTATGTTAATAACATGGCATGGCTGATGTTATCCAATTCAAATGGTTACTTGATTACTCGAAATATTATAAATGAATAGATTCGTAATTGTTATGGTGATTAAATAATAGGGATTTATTTATATTTAATAGGTATGATACCATAGTTAATTAGTGTATTATTGTGTTTCACTTTGCATGTTTACTTCACGAGTAACTTTATTATTCAAAATTCCACAGGCATTCATACTTTTGGAAGTAAGTAGTGAATTAAAGCTGTCATGAATTGATTGTAGGTTTTCCATAGAGATTGGACATTGCATGCGATTGCTACAATATTCATCAATACTTAGAAAATGGTGATTTTGAGTATTGGATAAACCCACGCTTAGAGATTACTTCATAGATTTTATCACAAGTAATTGTAAGACAATAATATATTCTTTCTTCAAATGGAGATACATAAGTTGTAATTTGCAAGTCGGTTGTGCATTGGTGTTGCCTAAACGTATCAGTAACATGATGTTATAAAACGTAGTATCATGTATGATTTGATAAGTAAATGTTACAGTTATCTAGTCAAAGTTTATTCCTTCCTTTTGCCTTAACAGGAAAACGATATCTTTGGGTCCCTAAATGATTTGTTGCCGATATCTGAAGTGTCTAAGCTCATAACTAAATTGGTATATACTTGTAACCGGAAGCAAAGTCCTTCTTGGGTTTCCATCTTATCCAGAAATAGCTAGAAATGATATTAGGAGAGAGAAAGATAATTTATTAGATTATTATATGATTAATAAACTAATTGGAAATTATGAAGAAATGATTTGTTAATATATTATATGATTAATATATTAATTGGAAATAGATAATTAGTTTGTTAATTTATTATGTGAATAAATTACTATGAGATCAATACTTAAATAATTGATTTGTTAATTTATATGATAATAAATTGATATGAAATCAATGAGAATTTAATTAATTATTAGTAAGAAAAAACCATCCTTCAGAAGTGATAGAGAAAAAACCTTTTCTCTGTTTCTCTTCTTCTTCTCCCCCACATACTATCAACTTACGAAGTGAATATCATTTTTTAATGCTGGTGAGAACGTAATGGAGTTGATATTTGATGATGCAACCATTTTTTTATGTCTAAGGCCAGACGAAGTGGCTTAAGTTTGTTCCTCGGTAACGCCTATGTGGCTCGGCAAACATCGGCCCGTCTTCTCGGTATGCTGAACATGGTCGATGAATTCGACAAACAACTACCGATGAGAGAGAAATAGTAAATGAATTGGAAATTGCAACAATGGTTCTAGGAAATTATCTCTTGCTAGACTTTCTATCCTAAACTTAAAGTGAAATATTGTATTTACCTTTAAACTTTATAAAATTAACATTTGATTTATCCCCTTTGATATTTAATATTCTTTATTAATTCAAATAAACTCTATAAGTTAATTAATATTATACCCTAAAAATATAATTTAAATTACACGAATGGTCCCTATGGTTTGGGGTAATTTGCACGTTTGGTCCCTAACTTATTTTTTTAACTCGGAAGGTCCCTACTATTTGTTTTTGTTACACGCTTGGTCCCTACTGTTTGTTTTTGTTACGCGTTTTGTCCATGTCTTACCTAAAAATACTATGAATTAAATAGGAAAAAATGGTAGGGTAGGTAAGATAATATGAGGGGGTGGAGTTGGGAGTGTGTTTGATTAAATAAATGAAAAAATCAAAGGCAAAATAGTCTTTTTAGGTAAGACAGGGACCAAGCGCGTAACAAAAACAAATACCAGGGATCTTCCGAGTTAAAAAAATAAGTTAGAGACCAAACGCGCGGATTACCCTAAACCATAGGGATCATTCATGTAATTTACTCTTTTATTTTATAAAGATAATCAATATGTTTTATTTTTTCATATGAAAATGTCGTGATACTCATCAAACTTAATAAAATTTTAGTTTTTATCAAAATATTTTGTTTAAACTTTAAATTGATTATTTTTCATATAAATTAAATTTAAAAAAAAAATTAACATGACAAGCATTATAACCAACGCCATGGTCTTGACATCTAAGTGGACTTTAATAAGTATAACATCACTTCCTCTCCTTTAAAAAACCCTTCTATTGAAATTTAATTAGTATAAACATGGCCTCCTCTCTAAAAAAAACCCTTCTATTGAAAATGATGATGGTTTACACTTCTATGAACCATCTCTTTATTTATAACTCTCCTCCGACCAATATTCTAGCAAGATTTTATTTAAAATTAATAGAAGCATTCATATATTATGATTATTATAAGATCAAAATTATAAAATAACTTGAAGATCGGACTATAATTCGCCAATAAAAACACAGAAGCGACTCACTTATTCGACCTCAACCACACTTGTTTCTTCTTTCTTCACACAAGTCCCAATCCATTTCAAACACCTCAAAAATGATGACCCACATCAAAGATTTCTTTGCCGGAATCTTGGACTCCGGTAAGAACATCAACTTATCCAACAAAAGAAAAAAACTCTTCTTAACTGCTTTTGCATCAATCCTACTACTCTCGGCTCTAATCGGCATTGTCATCGGAGTCAAATCTCGAAACTCCACCACAGAAAGCATCAGAGTTTCAGCCTCCCATGCCGTCGTAAAATCATCATGCAGCGCCACCTTGTACCCAGAGCTATGCTATTCCACCATCACCAGCCACCCCGATATGACCAAAAAGGTCAAAACTCAAAAGGACGTGATCGAGCTTGCTGTTAATATAACAACTACTGCCGTCGAGCACAGCTACTTCCAGATAAAGAAACTCACCAATCGCCAAGGTCTGACGCATCGCCAGATCACGGCGCTGCACGACTGCCTGGAGATGGTGTCGGAGACATTGGACGAGCTCCACGATGTCATCAAAGACCTCGAAGAGTATAAAACCAAGAAATCACTCAGGCAGCATGCCGACGACCTCAAGACGCTAATGAGCTCCGCCATCACCAACCAAGAAACTTGTCTCGACGGATTCTCCCACGACGAAGCCGACAAGAAACTCCGTAAATCGCTGGAAAAAAGCGAGAGGAGAGTGGAGAAGATGTGCAGCAATGCACTGGCCATGATTTGTAACATGACGAGAACAGATTTGGCGAATGAGAGGAAACTTAACGGGAGGAACTTGAAGGAGGAACAGAATAATGCATGGCCGGAGTGGTTATCTACCGGAGATAGGAGGTTGTTGCAGTCAGGGACGGTGAAGGCAAACGTGGTGGTTGCTACCGATGGTAGTGGAAACTACAAGACGGTGGCGGCTGCGGTGGCAGCAGCGCCGTCAAAGAGCAAGACAAGGTACGTGATTAGGATAAAGGCTGGGGTGTACCGGGAAAACGTGGAGGTGCCGTCGTCCAAAACTAACATAATGTTAATGGGAGATGGAAGAAAGAATACAATCATTACCGGAAGCCGTAGTGTAAAAGGTGGAACCACCACTTTCAACTCCGCCACCGTGGGTTAGTCATCCTATCTCTTTTTCTATACAAAAGTGTTATTAATTTTATTATAGAGTTTTTAACCATTTTTTCGATATGACTACTGCATGCGTATTCTGTTTTTAGTTATGTCGTTTTTAATATTTCAAAGATACATGTGCTTATGCTGTTTTTATGTCTGTCGATTTATATGGAAAATACACAAAACTCGAATCACTAAATGAGTAATAATGTATCATGACATACATTTTTTTCTTTAATTCATAATTTGCTAACGAGTTGTTTTTTAAATCAATAACTGAAAATTATTTTTCGTTCAGGTAATTCTAACTATCAGTCTATCATGTATTTCTAAATATGCTTATTTTATTTTATTATTTATATATATTTCACTTTTCTTTCATTTTTTTAACTTCAAAAGCTGAGGCTTCACGTGGAGGTTAAGCATATTATTAAACCTTGGGAGATACGAAGACCAACATCTTCATTATCTTTTTCATCTTTCCATAACTATATATAAGATAAGAGTGTCCATCTATTTTTCTTTTTTGTTATTGTTTTTACGTATAAATCAAATACAATTATACAATACCATATTTCATGACTAACTGAAGATAAAATACATATTACTCGTTGATTTTGATCATTAAATTGGAAAATTAATTTTTATGCATAATTATACCCTCAGGTGTACATGATAAATATACTATTTATATTTGAAAACACCTACTAGACATCATTATCATTTAAGTAACATCATCACATACTAATGGAATTAAATATTATTACTAATTTATCCCTGTATTATTTTTGTTGGTCAATTAAATAAAATTCATAAAAAACAACTCTGTGTGGCGTTATGCAGCTATCGTAGGCGATGGATTCTTGGCACGTGATGTAACCTTTCAAACACCGCCGGAGCTGCAAACCACCAAGCGGTGGCACTTCGTGTCGGCTCGGATTTTTCCGCATTCTATCAATGTGACATGTTGGCCTACCAAGACACCCTTTACGTCCACAGTAACCGTCAATTTTACATCAACTGTTTCATCGCCGGCACCGTGGATTTCATCTTCGGCAACGCTGCAGCGGTGTTCCAGAACTGCGACATCCATGCACGCCGCCCTGGACCCGGTCAAAAGAACATGCTCACGGCACAAGGCCGCACCGACCCTAACCAAAACACAGGGATTGTGATTCAAAAGTGCAGGATAGGCGCCACTTCCGACCTCCTACCGGTGATAGGGAGTTTTCCGACGTATCTAGGACGACCATGGAAACTTTATTCAAGAACTGTGGTGATGCAATCGACGGTTAGCAATGTGATCCATCCAGCCGGATGGTTTGAGTGGGATGGGAACTTTGCGCTTGATAGTTTAAGCTACCGTGAGTATCAGAACACAGGGGGTGGTGCTGCAACTTCCGGTAGGGTAAAATGGAAAGGGTTCAAGGTGATTACAAGTTCATCAGAGGCTCAAGGGTATACTCCGGGAAACTTCATTGCAGGGGGTAGTTGGTTAAGCTCTACTACCTTCCCTTATTCACTCAATCTGTGAACAAATGGATCGATTTAGGGTAACTGTTGTGTGTAAGAGGATGAAAGTAATGTATCGAATAATTTGGTTGTTTTCTTTAGGTGGAGTTTATGTTGCGGATGTGAGTTATTTAATCCATTTTTCATTAGTTTTTTCTAAATGCGCATGTTGCAAATATGGTGACATGTTAGATTATGTGACAACTTGAATTATAAATGCTACACTTCTTGAAGACATTTTTAAGAAAACAAAGTGAAAATTGACTAATTGAAGCATACTTGGAGTTGTTTGAGTGATTAAGATTTACCCATGAAAATTGAGAGGCCACGGGTTTCACCAATCTTACAAATTTGTCTTACATTTTTTTTCTTTTTGATAATAGAGGACATCAACCGACCCGACCGACATAACCTTAAGGCCTATGCATCCCTGGTAGAACATGTGGTCTAGTTTAAACGCCCTGTGAGGAGAGGGGGTCAGTGGTCATCCGCTGATTGGAACCCTCAAGGACTCAAATTCATGACCTCTTAGGGGTAAGGAAGGAGTTTCACTTCCTTTACCTGTTAGGCCATCAGTAGATGGTTTCGTATAATATATCATGTTACTTTGCTAGTTAAATATAAAAGAAAGAAATGTACGTAGAGATAGGAAAGGCAATGAATTAATACATTCTTCCTTTGTTAAACGAGCACATGGGTGGAGGAAGTTTATCTTTCCATTTCTGTAACGACCATAAAATTCATGAAAAATTTAAACTTTTAAAACAACCAATAAATCATCATTGTTTAAAAATAGTTTTCAAAATAGGTTTAATATCAGAGTTTTCTCAAAATCATAAAATCAAAACTCGAGGAGGTGCACGATCACACATTCGTCTTTCCGCGATCCTCTGAGGTACCTGAAACACAATCCAAAATTGTAAGCTCAAATCTTAGTGAGTTCCTCCAAAATACCAATACACAAACAAATATCACATATACAATAACAACATGCAATGGGTCCACAGCTAACAGACTGGATTACCCCTGAGCCCACAACATAAGTCTGGCTTGCCCTCGACCTACAACTTATGTCTGGCTTGCTCACAACTAAGCCCTCAGTACGATTCTGGCATGCCCTTCCCGGCCCTCAGCTCGTATCTGGAATTAATGCTCATGAGCCTTCAGTATGAGTCTGATATACCCTCGCCGGCCCTCAGCTCATATCTGGTTTGCTCCAGAGTTTGTTGGCTACAGCACGGAGCGATACAACCTCAACCCAACTCACACAATATGTCGACATATAACAGATAATATCATATACAGATAAACAGACAGTATCATAGGTAGTCCTACAGATCTACCAGACTAGTATATCAAGACTAGCATGCAGATCTATTCCATACTCAGCATATCAACAATATCATGTTATCAAACCAATGGGCCGACCTTGGTGCCTTCGACCCGAAAGTATAGTGAGGAAAACTCACCTCACAAGCTGCATAGAACTGATAAGGTCCAACTTCGAATCTCAGCTCTCTACTCAATGCCTACATCCATCAAGTGGCCAATTTCCATCAAAATCCCAAAATACCCTCAAATTCAAACTTGGTCAAACATGGTCAAACTTATGGTCAACCGGTCAAAGTCTATAAGCCCACTGAGTCAAACCAGTCGAGTCAACCCAGCCGAGTTAACTCAACATGGGCTGACCCATGCAAGTACGCGAGGCGTACTCTAGAGGTACCCTCAACGTACAAGAAGCTTCACAAAAACCACCATCGGGTTGGCTGACCGGGTACACAGGGCATACACCAAGCTACGTGGGGCATGCCCTCGCAAATCCCAAGTTCTTCATTAAGTGATTAATGGCTTTAGCACTTAAGCTTATACTTCAGATCCAAGGTCCAGAGGCATACTAGGGTCATAAAGTTTCTAACTTTATGACTTTACACGTCCATAAAGTCCTTAATGCATGGTCTTAATCCATTAAGACCTTCTACAAGATGCACGGAGCCAAACTAGCTAAAGGGACCTCATTTTTATGGCATAGTACCTTCCTAGGGTTTGAAACGATAGCCCAAAATGTCCATAACCAAACATGCATAAAAATGGGACTTTTGAGACAAGAAGAACAACATAAAGTCACTAAAATGAGATCCAAGTAAACAAAGCATCAAGGTGAATACTTTTTACCTTCTGGAGCCTCCCAAGAAGGTGATGATCCCAGATCCACAAGCTTGCTTCAACTTCTAAGCTCCTTGATGCAATTCTTTCTTCCTTAAGCACACCAAGTACACACTTTTAGCTCGAAATACACTCTTAAGGGACTAGGGTTCGCCAAAAACGACTCAAAGGCTTTGGAGGCTAAAAAGGTGGGGGTAAATGAGCCATAAAGATGCTTAAATACCCCTCAAACCCTAAAACTTAGGTTTTCTCTCGGACATGAGTACGCCCAGAGTGTACGCCCAACGTACATATGTGTACGCCCAACATACTAGCATACCCACATGTACGCTTAGCGTACTCCTCCTGTCCCAAAATTACCATCTTGCCACTAGGGCTTCAAGGCTCATTCTCATGGACTTAGGGACTAAAATGTCATAATTAAAAACCAAGGGATGAATTGAAAAATACCTGAAAACCGGGGTGTTACAACTCTCCCCCACTTGAACTAGACTTTGTCCTCCAAGTCTGCTATCGCGAACGAATCCAGAAAATGTTGTCGCATATCAGCCTCCGACTCCCAGGTCCATTCGGAGCCCCTCCGGTGCTACCATCGTACCTTTACCAAATGTACTTCCTTGCTACGCAAAACCTTCACCTTCCTCTCCATAATAGCTACTGGCCTCTCAACATAGTTCAGGCGTTCATCAACTTGGATATCATCTAAGGAAACCACTGCATCCCCATCCAACATGCACTTTCGCAGCTACGAAACATGGAAAGTGTTGTGAATCTGACTGAGCTCCTTAGGAAGATCCAATCTGTACACAACCTTGTCAACCCTGGCGATCATTCAAAATGGCCCAATATACCGGGGACCCAACTTCCCCCTCTTCCTTAAGCGAATCACACCTTTCCAAGGTGAGACCTTCAGTAACACCATGTCGCCGACCTGAAAATCCAACTCGGATCGGTGTCATTCGGCATAGCTCTTCTGCCGACTCTGAGCAGTCTGCAATCTTTACCTGATCTGTTGAATCATCTCCGTGCTCTGAAGGACCACTTCAGTCCGCCCCATAACCCTGTGACCAACCTCGCCCCAGCAAACCGGGGTACGACATCTCCGCCCATACAAAAGCTCAAAAGGCAGAGCACCAATGCTGGGGTGATGACAGTTGTTGTAGGAGACCTCCGAAAGAGGCAGGTAGGAGTCCCAACTCCCACCAAAATCGACGACACAGGCTCGCAACATATCCTCAAGGGTTTGTATCGTCCTTTCACTCTGACCATCGGTCTGCGGACGATAAGTTGTGTTGAAGTGCAACCTCGTGCCCAGTTCCTCATGGAATTTATGCCAAAAAAGGGAGGTGAAACGAACATCACGGTCTAAAACAATGGGGACCGGAACCCCATGGCAAGCAATGATCTCGCGAGCATACACCTCAGCCAACTTCTCGGCCGAAGAACTCTCCCGAACCGCCATTAAATGGGCACTCTTGGTCAATCGATCCACGATGACCTAAATAGCATCAAAACCCTTTGCCATCTTCGACAACTTGGTGATGAAATCCATTGAAATCTATTCCCATTTCCACATGGGAATCTCCAGGGGCTACAGCTTGCCATGCGGCCTATGTTGCTCAGCCTTGACCATCCTGCAAGTCACACACCTCTCCACGTACTAGGCGATCTCCCTCTTCATACACGACACCCAATAGCTCAATCTCAAATCCTGATACATCTTGGTAGCCCCCGGATGGATAGAAAAACAAGACTTATGAGCCTCCTCCAATACGATCTGTCTGACCCCACCAGACATCGGAACCCAGACCCGACCACAACGGGTCAACAACCCACGACTATCCGGCACAAATCTGGCAATCTCACCCCTGATCCTCTCTTTCTTCCAATTCTCTTCCCGGACACCCTCGGTCTGAGCCTCCCTAATCAATCCCAAAAGCGGAGAGTCCATTGATACCCTCATATACGATACCCCCTCCGAAGACCCAACCGACCTGCGGCTTAAGGCATCCGCCACCACATTCGCTTTACCCAGATGGTAAAGAATCTCACAGTCATAATCCTTGACTATGTCCAGCCACCTGCGCTGCCTCATGTTCAGGTTCGGCTGATCCATAATATGTCTTAAACTCTTGAGATCCGTGTAGATAGTACAACAGACCCCATAAAGATAATGCCTCCAAATCTTGAGGGCAAAAACCACTGCCCCCAACTCCAGATCATGCGTGAGATATCGTGTCTCGTACGACTTCAGCTACCGCGAAACATAAGCTATCACTCGTCCTCTCTGCATGAGGACTGCCCCAAACCAGTGATGGATGCATCACAAAATACCACAAAATCCTCAATTCCCTCCGGAGGGTCAAAACCGGGGCCTCACATAATCTCTGCCGAAGGGTATCAAATGTTGTCTGCTTCTCAGGTCCCCATCAGAAATCCACCCCTTCGTTGTTAGACGAGTGAGGGGTACTGCACTCTTGGAGAAATCCTGAATGAATCTCCGATAGTACCCTGCCAATCCCAAGAAACTCCTGATATCCAAGGGAGATTTCGGAACCTCCCACTACATCACGGTCTCGATCTTGGCCGGATCGACGAATATACCATCCTGGTTAATGAGGTGTCCAAGGAACTGAACCTCTCGTAACCAAAACTCGCACTTCGAGAACATACCATAAAGCCATTCTCACCTCAAAACCCCCAGAAGCTCACAAAGATGCTCCTCATGCTGCTCTCTGGTCTTGGAATATACCAATATATCATCAATGAACACAATAACCGAACGATTGAGCATCGGCCTGCATACTCGATTCATCGAATCCATAAATATTGCAGGCGAATTGGTGAACCCAAATG